ACAGTACGGAGTCTTTGCCCTCTAAGCCAACATCACCAGCAACCATTTCCACCTCATGCAGCCACCACGCCCGGTTTTTGTCCAAAACAGCCTTGTTTCTCTGTTTTTCTCTTTCCCGGTCTCGCAAACAAGACTCACGGAGCTTCAGCCGGAGCTCCGATCGTCGTTCCGTCGACACCCACCGTCCAGCCTCGCCGTGCGTCGCCGTCCCGCCGTAGCCCGTCGATGTCCGTACGGTGCTGTTCACCCGTCCGTACGGATCATTCACGCCGGACCGTCGGACGCCGCGGCCTGTCACCGGCACCTTCTTTGGCCACCGTCCCACTGTCCGTACAGTGTCCGTACGGAGTGGTGCTGTTCATCGCGTCCGTACGGGGACACTGTTCACGCGTCCGTACATCGCGGCGATGCTTTGCCGTGTCCGGCCCGTTCAAGCCCGTTCGTGTCGCCTTTTTGGGTAAGTGTTTTCCCCAAATGTCATTTAGGACCTCGGGTATTTCTAGACTCGTTTAGTATTCGGTTTAAGTGATTTTAGGGACTGTTAGTGGTTATTTCGTGGTTGTCTTCGGGACTAAATTAGAAATTTGAATGTTTGGAGGTTGTGGGGCTGATTGGGTGACGAAATTCGTGGTTTAGGAATGCTGAGTTAGGGCGGTGATGTCGAGGATCGATCGGGAATTAAATGGGTGATTAATTGGAAATGTATTGGTTTGATTGGGTTTATCGGATTAATTGTGTAGTTTTCTTGTCATTGGCTTGTTCTAGTTTGTGATTGGGCCGAATGTAATGTGGCGCTATGCCGTGTGTGTGGCCGTGAGGTGTGGTGGCGTGGACATGTGAATGTGCATTGAGTTCGTGTGCCGAGTGTGGGTGATCATGTGGTGTCCGTGTGATGAGAATGCGTGTTTGTGAAGTGTACGTGAGATGTGAATTTGGTGTGTGGCTATAAATGTGTGAGGCGTGTATGTTTGGCCGTGCGTGTGCTGGTTGTGTGTAAGTGTGGTTTGAGTGGAACGAGGATATGGAAATGTGAGATTGGTTGGAAAGGATCCGTCCTGAGGCGTGTACGTTTACGCGGGACGATGCCGTCCCTGACGAGGTGACGATGCCCGGCCCGACGGGGTGTCGATGCCTGACGTGGTCAGAAGACCGTTGGCCTGATGCGTTTTACGCGGGCGCGGTAGAAGGAAAGTGTGTGTAGGATTCCGTCCTGAGGCGTGTACGTTTACGCGGGACGATGCCGTCCCTGACGAGGTGACGATGCCCGGCCCGACGGGGTGGCGATGCCTGACGAGGTCAGAAGACCGTTTGGCCTGATGCGTTTTACGCGGGCGCGGTAGTGGTGGAAAGGTTGAGAATGAACAAGAATTGGCGGGACGAGTGAAATTAAGAAAGTGACGCGTGGTGTGAGTTGGTGTGCGAGTGTGTTTGTATCGCGTGGTGTGATGCTCGATTATGGGGTAAAAACTGCTAGGCATGGTATGGGACGTGCCCAAGTGGGTTTTGCTCTATAATCGGGGCACGCGCGCTGCTGTGATGTATTTCTGTGGCATACTGGATGTGTGGTTGACTAACGTGCAGGGACGTGCGTGAGGAATTCCAGGTAGGGTCGCATGTGATTGTTAGTTGGCTGATCGTTGTGTGTTATGTGTGTTTTCGTGCGGGCGGTACGTGAGTGCCTACGTGGGGTTTGGGGTTGTACACTTATTGAGATTCGTCTCACGGTTGTATAACCGTCACTTTGAACCCGGCCCTAAACCGGGAAGTGCGCCTTTTCTTTTGGAAGTCGGGGAGCTACTGTTGGTACCCGGTGGAGCTGCAGTGAGTTCCGAGAGATTCGAGCGGAGATTCGAAGCGAGACGGGAGGAGGGCGATCCTTAGGTTTTTCCTTAAGATTTTGGGGGTTGTGTAAATCGGGTTGACCCATAGGGAAGTTAAGTTAACCAGACCCTGATATTTTGTTGACGGTGATTTCGGATGCTAGTTTGTTAATTATGCCTGTAATATGATGTATGTATATTTGGTGTTGTATGAATATGTGGTTGCTGGATTGTTTTGTTGTTCTACCCCGTTGTCGTCATTATTTGTCCGGGGTTTTATTTTTTTCGCTTCCGCATGTGGCTCTGATGTTTGGGTTGGGTCGGCGACGTTCCTGGGACGTCGCATCATTTCGACCGGAGCAGGGGATGTCGCGAGCTCGATGGGGTTCAGGGCGTGACAAGATGGGCATCCCCAAGTGTGTACATGTCGCAAACTCGGTTTCCAACATTTGAATAGCTCAAAACATGTCATTGGGGTAGCTTTTGTTGGAACTCGGTTCAATATGTCTACTACCATCTTAAGAGCTTCAGTCCACAAGAACTTAGGAAATTTGGACTTGCTAAGCATACTCCGCACAATGTCCAATAAAGTTCGGTTTCTTCTTTCTTACAACATTTTGGTCTAGAAAATCAAGCATGGTATATTGAGCCACTATCCCATACTCTTAAAAAAACTTCACAAATGGACTAGTTGCTTCTCCATTTTCAATGTATCTACCATAGTATGACCTCCTCTATCTGATCTCACAAATTTAATTTACTTACCGCATGTTTCTCTACTTTGGTTTTAAATACCTTAAAAGCATTAACACTTCGTACTTATTATGAAGCAAGTAGAGATACATGAAGTGTGAGTAATCATCAATGAAGGAAATGAAGTACGTCTAACCATACGAGTCCATATTTGGACTACAAATGTTTGTATGTATAATTTCTAATGTTTTCATACTTCTCTTGGCTCATTTCTTTGTCTTGTTGGTCCGCTTTCCCTTTATGCAGTCTAAGCAAGTGTTATAATCAGTAAAATAAAAAAATACTAAGCATTCCATCGCTTAATTATATCTATGGAGATTTGTCCAAATCTTTGATGCCACAACATAGAGGAATGTTCATTCATAACATATTGTTTTATACCAACTTTATCATGAGGATGCATCGCATTATAAAAGGCACTGTCTTGTAATTTAAATAGAAAAAGATCATAAGATAAACTACCGCTCCCAAAAATTTTAGATTTAAACAACAAACTGGAGTTTGAATTTGAAAAGTTAAAGAAATAACCTAATGGTACAAGTCTTGAAAGTGAAATCAAATTTCTAGAGAAACTTGAAATATAAAAGGTCCTTTCCAAATTCAAAACAAAGCCACTATAGAGAACTAATCTACATGTCCCAATAGCTTCCACATGTGAATGGAAAAATTATCAAAACAGTCCTAAACCTATTTCAATTATGTCAATTCAGTCCTAAGCCTTTTTTTTTTACCAATTCAGTCCTAAACCTTTTGTATTTATGTCAATTCAGTCCATTCAGCCACTTTTGGTCGACCGGCGCTGACGTTGACGTCGTTCGGCGCTGGCTGATGCAAGCGTGGCAATTTTTAAATATATATATTTTATTCTTTTCCTTTCTCTTTCTTTTTTTTTTCTTTCCTTCTTCCCTTGGTTGGTCTGGCGACCGGCCAGAAGCTAAGGCCTGCGAGGTAGACCTCACCGGCCATTGGTGAGGCTCGTCCTCATCGGTACTAGCGACATGACAACTTTGCCGTTGCTAGGCAAGGTCAAGCTCGCCCATACATGGCGAGGCTCGCCTTCACTGTCTTTAACCAAGCTCGAGCCTTGCAACCTCACCGGCCCTAGCCTTTGGCCAGTTGCTGGACTGGCCAAGGGAAGAAGGAATGAAAAAAAAAGGAAAAAGAAAGGAAAAATAAATAAATAAAAAAGAAAAATATATTTAAAAATTGTCACGTTATCGTCGGCCAAATGGCCGGTGTCAGCTGGCATCACGTTAGTTTCAGTCGGCCAAAGTGGCCAGATGGACTGAATTGCATAAATGCAAAAGGTTTAAAGCTGAATTGACAAAAAGAAAGGGTTTATGATTGAATATTACAATAGTTTTATGACTGTTTTGGTAATTTTCCCCATGTGAATGCATCTTGTTTCCTAAATATATGCATTGATCATTTCCCACTTGTTTTCAATAGTTTTGAAAACCTTGCAAGGCCTTGGCCTTGCTAGATCGGCGAGCTTGTCTCTCGCTTGTGGTCGGCCACCAGTTGAGGAAGAAGAAAAAAGAAAAAGAAAAAGAAAAAGAAAAAGAAAAATATTATAATATCCTCAAATTCTACACCTAATTAGAGCCTAATTAATACGTGACTTAGCTGGTTTGGAATTGTAATATCCTCAAATTCTACACCTAATTAATTACACGTTGATGTTAATTTGAAGTTTTACATAATTGTGACGAGGGGTGCACGGGTACTATTAATTGAGATATAAGTTAAGTTTGGTCGATGCAAGATCTAAGTAAACTCATTTGAGAATTTTCGTAAGTGACTGAAAAAAAAAGAAAGAAATTTTAGGTAAATATTTGATTCTGTAGCATGGACAAAATGAAAACCCCATTTCTATCTACTTGTCGTCGGCCAAAATTCATTTCTCTTTACTGAAGAGTGGATGAAAGGTGTCTGGACATCTTGGTGAAACTTGAGTGACAAGGGGCACTTTTACGGTATTCCATTTATACCATATGTTTATACGACGCGCTATTGTTATTAAGTATAAAAAATGTCATAGCACTTTGTGAAATTATCTTATACATCACGACTGTTACCGTATTCAAGGGAAAAGTATCGTAAAAAATGTAGTTGTATAGTATACTATTATACCTTATAAATTCCCGGACGGGACATGCTTATGCTCGGGATCAACAACATTGGAGTCATATGATAAATGCACGTAATAAGCGGTTCGATAGATCTGCTCATAACCATAACATAACGCATTCTCTCATGGCATCGATTGCTTAGCCCCAGAAATTTGGAGTCATTGGATAAATGCATGTAATTAATAAAGCCGCAAGTCCGATGTAGAAAGCACAGATTGCCATTCCTAAACCCTTCGAAAGAAGGGAGGATAGTAACGCTGAAAGCTTGCACAAGCAGAAGAATTAAGCTCTAGGAGCACAAACAATGCATTAATTGACGTGATTCTCCAGACAGAATAATGACGCGAGATTGAATAGATAATGGACAACAACAATGAACAGATAATTGGTCCTAAATGTCCAGAGACACAAGGGTATCCTTAAGAAGCAAATGAATCTCGAATTTCAGTTTCTAGAACTTGGACTGGATCTGACCAGCGATACTCTTATCGACTTGGAATGCCTTGGCAAGAATGTCTGTTGCGATATCTGGATTGGATCCGAAAACCGCATTTGCGATCGTGATGACGCCGGGGTTCTGGCTGCCGAGAGCCGCAATGGCGATGGCATTGCTGTATCCAACGTTCCTCTGGAAATGGATGAGTCCCACGGGGAAAACGAAAACGTCGCCCTTGTAGAGGACCTTCGTGATGAGACGGTTGTCAGGGTTGGAGGTGACGAACCCAACCTCGAGAGTACCTTCAATGACCGTCAAGATCTCTGAAGCGCGGGGATGTGTGTGGGGCGGGTTGATGCCCCACGGCGAGTAGTCGATCCGAGCAAGCGAGATGCCAAGCGTGTTGAGCCCCGGCACTTGAACCACGGTCACGGGAGTCACTTTTGATCCGACCGGGTTTGATACATTGCCGGCTAAGTGAAGTCCTCCGAAGTAGAAGTCGTTGGCTTGGACCATTTTGGGGTCTTTGCATGCGAACCCATTCACAAAAACTGTAGGAGACAAAGAATTTTATTGTTATGACTTGCATGCCTAAAGTATTTTCTCAATGTATTTTCTGTTCTATCATTTAAACATTAATTAAAGTATTTACCTCCATTGGAAGGGCCAGCGACACAAAAATCTTGAAGGGGACTCTCATCCGCCACGGCGACAGTAATTACAAGAGCTGCAAGCCCAAGGAAGAGAATGCGAATCGCCATGGAAAAAATGCGTTGATGATACGAAACGAGGACTCTGCGAAAGAATGTCAAGATGGATCGATAATGCTTGATGTTGCTATGAAGCTATAGAGCCATGCATGTCTTATTTATATATAACCATGTAGAAGGAGATTACTCAGCCAACTAAGAAAGGATTCTAGAATGCCGTCTCTAGCCAATGACAAGACCAAGTCCAAGACGCGCAGTATCATGAAGTTTAGATTACAGATTCATCCTCAAAGAAAGAGGAATTGGTTATGGTATCAAATTAAAAATAAAAAAGAACAAGCGTTCGAATGTATGAGACTTGTCCAAGTAAGAGGCCGGCCATTCCCCATAGTTTGAACGGGATCTTGCCGAATGGCGATTCATATGTGTTAAAAATAAACGGATGGTGTTTTGCCACGTGTCAAAAGAAGGAAAAATTACCAAAACAGTCCTAAACCTATTGCAATTATGCTAATTCGGTCCTAGATCTTTTGTATTTGTGCTAATTCAGTCCATCCGATGTTGACGTGGATGCCGGCCAGCTAACGCTGACGTGACAATTTTTAAATATTATTTTTATTTTTTCTTCTCTTTTCCTTCCTTTTCTTTTTCCCTTTCTTTTTTTTTTCCCTCATCTTCATCTTCATCGTCAACCTCTGGCTAGCAAAGTCGGCCCCGCTGGCTACTGGTGAGGCTCGACCTTGCCGTTGTTGGGCAAGGCCAACCTCGCCAGATCTAGTGCCGTTGCTGGGTGAGGCCGACCTCACCAGTTGCCGGTGAGTTCGAGCCTCGCTAGATCTGGCGAGGCCTTGCCTAGCAAAGGCTCATCCTCGCTAGGTCTGGCGAGGTCAGCCTCGCCCAACGACGGCGAGGTCGAGGTCGAGCCTCGCCAAGGGCCAGTGAGGCCGACCTCGCCGGCCAGGGGTTGAAGATGAAGATGAGGAAAAAAAAAGAAAGGGAAAAAGAAAATAAATAAATAAATAAATAAAATTCGAAAAATAAAAATAATATTTAAAAATTGCCATGTCAGCATTGGCCAACCGCTCGACGTCCATGTAAGCGCCGACCAGCCAAAATTGGCCGGCTGGACTGAATTGACACAAATGCAAAAGGTTTAGGACTGAATTGACACAATTGCAATAGATTTAGGACCATATTGGTAATTTTCCCGTCAAAAGAATACGAATTAGGGATAAGCAGCGTCATGTCACGAGGACATGGGCTGACATCAAGCCCGCTAGAATAGGTTAGAGGGTAGATTAGGTTCAATTCACCGTAATAAGCCCCATACCGGGCCCATCATGCAAAAACTCTCTAGAATGTCCTAATAGGTCGAGATAAACCGGGATTTCGACACTAATCTGGAGTTAACCTCAATGATTTGCCCACTTGGACTCGAGGGACCTCTTGGCACGGGATGACCACACAGATGTTTGTTCAGCAATAATGATTCAACATAGAGATTGCTCCGACCCTTTAGGACCCGGAGAAATTTGAGAAGAGGAAGAATGAAACCTTCGAGGTTTATTCTCTCATCTTCGGCGTGAGCAGGCTGTTCAAGTAAGGTCCCCCATTGACAATGTATGAGATGATCCAGACATTCATGGAGACCCTTAAAGCCCCATGCTACGGGTTGATGGCGAGCCATAATTTGCCAAATTTTGCAACCTGGTGATTATCAGAGAAAGGATCGACAACGGCCTCCGTGCCCGTCAGATTCAGGATGTTCAAGCCTCCAACGGAAAGCAATTTAAGGCTAGGAAGGGCAAGAAACCGGTGGTGAGCATGATATAACAAACTTCCGAGATGTTATACGTTTGCTAGGATAGACAAGGCGAAGAATTGGACAAGATACACTTTACTATTATTTCTTACATGTGTTTAGAGTACAAGTTAGCTATTGGTTTATAGAAAGGCACTAGCTAATAGATGCAATGGACTAACTTTCTTGAGCTACGGCCTTTGTACACAGAAAGATAATATCCTCTATACAAATAAAGATAAAATGAATTTGTCTCGCCAAGAATACTAGAATTGCTTGACTCGTCTTGATCTGATTAAGAGCAATTTTTGGATTTGTTTTGCTATCGAGAGATATTATTTCAATACGATGCTAACCCAGCCATACCATACAACTATGCGATGCGCTGTCATAACACCTCATCAAATTATTCTACGAGATTATCGAGTGTTTTCGTATACAAGTGCAAAAGTATAGTTAAAAAAATGTAATTATGAACACAGTATTATACCTATAGAAATTCTCATATAGGATAAGCGATCCCCCAACAAAAAACGGGAGCCATTCCCTGCAAAATGCTAACTCTCTCTCTCTCTCACATATATCACGGGTTCTGTAAGTGTTATCCCCATCTCGTGTTACAACTCTAAACCGCAACTTGTTTAAAGACCCATTAAATTGCGGAGTGTATATTCGCACTGGTTTCCCTTTGCAAAGAAACCTGAAGTAGACTCCCTTCTAATGACTATTCATGCTTATTTGCCATACAGAAACTTCTGTCCTACATATATATTGATATATTTTCTCCATACACGCATGCACTTGACGTGAAATAGCGAATAAATACATTACATTTAATAAATAGTTTAGGCGAAGGAAATGCAACCTTATTTATAAGCTATTTCATAAATCCATCTATTAAAAGTTCCCTGTTTTCTTTGCTTGTGATATGCAAGGGCGATCTTCATCTTGAAAGTAAGGGTAAATTTGTTTCGTAGAAAATCAATGATTTGAAAAACATTTTCTAAAAAATGATCACTTGTATTACTCATAAAAACGAATGAACGAAAAAAAATTTCATCGTCTATGAAAATATTTAGACATGAATTATCGCCGATAATTAAAAAAAAATTCATTGATTAATATTTCAAGCTATATAAGAGATCATTTCTAGGAATTTTTTTTTCAAATTATTTATTTTCCGTAAAACAAACGGAGCCTATCGGACAAATTTTACTTTTAGACTGTGCATGCCTATTTAATGTACCACTAATGCTGCATTTAAACGTGGGCTGCTTTTGGCCAGCTCAAAGGATCTCCAAATGTATGACTCACGTAAAAGTAGATGAAGGAACTACTTATTTTATTGCCTAATCTGATCACTTACCTGTTTTACTTAGAGTATTGTCTACTAAGAGGGTTATTACGCGGCATCCTCAGCATGTGAAAATGAAGCTGTTACCGTCTTTTACATCTAACCGCTCCACCAGAAACGGTCCCTGTTTGTTTGTCGTTCAACCATTATGTGCAGGCTGCAATGCAGCTAACAGCAATCCTGAAGTTAATTATGCGGGAGTTGAGAATTGTGAATGAAGAGAAAAATCATATTCTATATCTATTCTAGTGAATAGTACACGAGTCTATTTATAGGCTTTACATAACGACTATCGAAAGTAACAAATAAATGAAGATATACAAAATCACAGAATATCGCAAATATATTTCTCTAACATCCCCCCTCAAACTTAAGATGATTTGAAAGATGTCAACTTGAGTTTGGAGAACAGATCCAGAAAATGACTAGGTGGATGTGTCTTGGTGAAGATATCGGCAGTCTGTTCAGCGGAGGAAGTAGATAAAAGTCGAACGGTGCCACGAAGAACATGGTATCGGATGAAATGACAGTCTATTTCAATATGCTTGGTGCGTTCATGAAAAACATCATTATGTGCAATTTGAATAGCACTCCAGTTGTCGCAATGAATTACCGTTCCGCTATGATGACACATTCCTATGTCTTCAAGTAGCCACTGTAACCATAATAACTACGATGTTGTATCAGTAAGAGCTCGATATTCTGTTTCTGTACCAGAGCGAGCAACAGTGGTTTGTTTCATGTTACGCCACGAGATAAGTGAGTTGCCCAAAAAGAAACATTAGCCTGTAGTGGAGCGACGATATTAAGGGTCACCAGCCCAGTCAGCATTAGAATAAGTTGTCAACTCCAAGGTAGAGTGAGCAGAAAAATAAAGACCATGAAACAAAGTACCCCTGACGTAGCGAATAATTCGAAGAACTGCAGCAAAATGAGTCGTACGAGGCACTGTCATGTACTGACTAACAATATGAATAGTGTAAGCGATGTCAGGACGTGTAACGGTGAGATATATAAGACTACCAACCAACTATCGATAAAGTGTAGGATTCGGAAGAAGAGTTCCATCCTTGTCATTGAATTTTGCATTCGACTCAATGAGTGTAGAAGAAATGTCATGCCCCGAACCCCATCGAGCTCGTGGCATCCCTCTCTGGTCGATTTATGCGACATCCCAGGAATTATCGCCGACCTCAAAAATGATTGCCAGAGATATAACGCACGACGGAAACCACAATTAACTCGGACAATATAAACTGGGGAAACGCCAGGGAGAATATACATTGACATTTTCATTAACAACCTTATACAACATTCACAGAACTTACAACCACCGTAATTTACAGCCACCATAAACCCTTGCACACCGTATTACAAACTACCGATATACAAAAAGATCGGTAACCTGGCATCCAGACCTCAAAAATGGTACTTTCCTAAAATCTACGATTCTGAACCCCTAACACTAGTCTCTACGCCCCTTACTCGGCGTCCATTTAGAATCTGACTCATCATCACCGGAGTCTGAACTCTCCTGATCCGTTTGCTCCTCCGAAGACTCCGGCTCCGCCTCAATCACAATCGGATGATCAATGTCACCCGACTCAGCTGGAATAGCGTTCTGGTACTCCTCAGCTAGAAAATCAAAGAAATTAATCTCAGGCACGAAATTGGGATCCATGTATTCCTCAAACGGGAGTATATACTCCGGGTCTCCTACAGGCTCTTCCGACTCCTCAGACTTGTCATCAGGCTCTACCTCGGGCTCCACCTCCTCTGGTTCCTCCTCCTCTGGTTCCTCTTCGGGGATTGGTTCTAAGTCTATGTCCATCGGGTCATCCTCAGCTTGCGATGCTTTAGGCTCAGGTTCATGCTCAGCCTCTGAAGATCCTTGTGCGGCGGGTGCTGAATGCATCCCAGATTGCGCTAAGCTAACCTCTGTACTGGTCAGTTCTCC